AAGGAGAGGTTTAATATCAAAAGTACACTAATACAAAATTAGAATTTAGTTTTCTCTCTGTTTAAAGGACAAAGTTTTTGGGATGCCTGTGTGGCTCAGCCAGTTAAGCATGTCTTTGGTTTGGGTCATGATTCCAAGGTCCTGGGATCAAGATCCATGTCAGGCTCCCTGCTAAGCAGAGAGCCTCCTTCTCTCTCTCCCTCTGACTGCTGTTCTACTTGTGCTCTTTCTCTAGCTTTGTTATATAAATAAATAAAAATCTTTTTTAAAATAAAATAAATAAAAAGGACAAAGTTTTCTTAAATTATTAATCTGCTCTTAATAAAAAATTATTAACAAAGGTTTTTCTTTACCTTTAATATAATCTGCCTAGAAAAGATTCTGTGCTTTGTCTTTATCAACTCTTTGATTATTAAAAAATAAAAAACAAAAAACCCAAGTCTTCTTTATTAAAAGAGCTAAGGTTTTTATTTATTTTTTTTAAACTGTGTAACTTTCTGTATTTGCTTTTTTAATCTTTTAATTGTCACTTTGGTTTAATAGATAACTAAGTATTGTCTCACAGAGATCTATGATTTTATTTTATCAAATGCTTTAAGTCTTTTGACATTTTTAACAAACTTCCCCAAATGAAATTCTTAAAAAGGTAATAAGAGAAAGGTTAATTTATTTAGGGTCATTTCAGGTGTTAAACTACGTGGGAAGCATTGTCAAATAAGTAATGTTAAACTTTCTTTAGCTTCTACTTATATATGTTAACACAAGTATTCCAGAGATGGTATGAAATCTAGAGTGTTCTGGTATAATGTTATCAGTCATGATTTTAAAATGTATGTCACAAAAATAAACAAATTTAGTTGTCAATTTCATCACTCTCTTTGTATGTGTATGTGAACTCTCACCAGATCTTCTAAGGTCTTTTTTCACTTACAGATGGCTACTACTTTACTCCAATGATTTTGCAAAAGTATTCCTGCAAAAATGCTTGATCTTCAAAGAGATTTATGGAAAAGACCCTGACAAGTATTCTAAAATTCAGGTTTCTGACATCTTTAAGATCATAACACAACGTAAGGTAAGAATTTCTAAAGCTCCAGTGGAAAACTGGTTGTTTCATAAAGAATCAATCTGCCAACTCAAGATGAAGCAAAATAAAGATTATTTACACAATACTGAATGAACTGATGAGATGATTATAATTTTTATGATATCATTTAAAACAGTGCTAGTTCTATAGTGTTTCATTTTCCAGATTAAAGGACCCCCTTTTCTCCTTCTTTTAATGCTGTCTATCACTTACAGCAATTTGGTAAAATGTCTTTGTGACAAAGATTAAAACATTTTTCTTCCTACCTGATCCCTCCAGGATTCAGAAACTCTTATTAGATATTCTTATTTTTATGAAAAATATATATTTGCATAAGGTCAATAAGATTCTATCCTCCTTGTAATAGGACACAACTGGACACTTCCTTGACTTGGCTTCCTAGCTTCCAGAGGCTTTATAAAGTCCACTCTGATAGTCCTTGTGACAATTTCTAGCAAAGCAGATTTATTTATTTTATCTTTTTTAAAGATTTTATTTATTTGTTTAACAGAAAGAGGGGGAAAACAAGCAGGGGGAAGGGGAGAAGGAGAAGCAGGCTTCCCACTGAGCAGGGAGCCCTAAGAGGGGCTAGATCCCAGGACCCTGGGATCATGACCTGAGCCAGGGTAAGCCGCTTAATGACTGGGCCACCTAGGCACCCCTAGCAAAACAGATTTAAAAGAGCCTATATGGTCAATCACTATTCTTGTTGAACTTGTTTTGTTTTGTTTTTTAAGATGTTATTTATTTATCTGAGAGAGAGAGAGAGAACAGGAGCTGAGGGGAGGGGCAGAAGGAGAGGGAGAGGAAGAAGCAAACTCCCCACTGAGCACGGAGGTTGGATGCAGGGCTCCATCAGTGGACCCTGAGCTGAAGGCAGACGCATAAGTTTGATTATGCGTCTAGATCCTGAATTCTTCCGGTTTCCTTCAATATTTGACCAGAACTCTCCAAACTAACATTTTCAATTTTCTCCTACTCTTTTTGACTCTTTTTGAATCACTATGAAACAAAAGCTGTTCTTTTCCCAAAGCCATGCCAACTAAAGCAGGACGACTTGATATAAACTTCAGACAGATCACCGCAACAGCTCATGAGTGGACAGACTTTGTGCCTGTTGCTATGTAGCCACTCAGAAAAATCGCAGAGACATTCATACTGCAAACCACAAAAATCTGTCTGATCGCCATGCTTGCCCTCATTCCACCTGAAGATGTTCCAAACCTGACATCTAGAAATTTTCTCAACTGGCTGCTCTCCAAACTCAGAAACAGTACTTATAATTTGCTTGAGCTATTAACCTTTGTTTTCCTTTTGTTTCCATAGAAATCTCTCTCATTAAATTACTCACCTGCAACATCACCTTCTGAAATACAACATCCTCAAGTTCAACTTCCTAACTAATCATGAGGGTATGTGTTTACTAATATGTCGCATTGTGCCTATGTAAATAAATAACTCAGAAAAAATCGAAACCCAATTACACATTATTCAAAAAAAGGTAGATTGGCTTAATTAAAACATGGATCAGATTATAACCCATTTGAGTTATTTAGTTGGTTAAATCTTCGGTCCTGGGAATCTCTGTTCTGGGAAATTTCTCAGTCCTTGGTTGTTGTTTTCCTTACAGTCATCATATTAACCTCCCTAGTGTGTTGTAAACTCCAGAGGGTTTTAAATGCCTGTCAGCAGCCACGCATATGCCAAATGGTAACCATCAGGATCAGACAAATGGATGAAACCAGCAATAAGCACATAAATGATGAAGATGGGAACTATGTGGCCCTCTAGCCTGATAACTCAACTAGAGGAAACACAGAATGTGTGATTCTTCAGCCTGACTATATCAGAGGTGGTAATTGAGAATAATGCTGTACTGGTTGGTCATACTCTCAGGGTGCTGAGACAATGACCAAGGGAGGCAGATTATTCAAATAAAAAAAAAAAAATGGAGACCAGCCTTGAAAATTCCCTGGGCAGACAAAATCAGCCTAATCATTCAAACAAAGCTTCATTTAGCCTTAAGTTAGCAAGGCTAACTTGATCTGGGTTATTTCTTGCTTGTGCCTCTGAAAACCATAAGCAAAACTAAAACTGTTTCTCAAGGTTGGTAGAGGTAACCACTGGCCAATTCCCTATCACTTAAGAAAATTCTAATATTTATGGGGCACCTGGGTGGCTCAGTGGTTTAAGCCTCCGCCTTCGGCTCAGGTCATGATCTCAGGGTCCTGGGATCCAGCCCCGCATCGGGCTCTCTGCTCAGCAGGGAGCCTGCTTCCCTTCCTCTCTCTCTGGCTGCCTCTCTCTGCCTACCTGTGATCTCTGTCTGTCAAATAAATAAATCTGTCAAATAAATAAATAAATTAAATTAAATATATTTAAAAAAAGAAAATTCTAATATTTATAATTAACCACTGTGAAGAATAAACAGCCACTATTTTATCACTATATAAGCTTCTCTGTAATGATACACTCCTGAGCCTAATTCTAAGTTTTGGTTTGAGTGCTTCTAGTTTGCAAACTGGCTTTTTGGTGTGTGCACAGTACACTTTTACTAATTACTGCTTCTATGATCCATTGGTTTTACTTCTGTTATTTCTGAAATTTTGACATAGCTTTAAGCACCAATGGTTTCCCAAAGTCTTGGCCTATGATCTATGATCCATAAAGTCCTACAAGATCTGGCCCTTGATGCTTTTCTCATTTCCTACCTCTCTCCTCTTTGTTCTTCGGGTCCGGCCACACCAGATCTTCCAGGTCTCTTCTTCCTCAAGGCCATCGCACAACTGCCTCCCTCCTTTCCTCCTGGTATCTGACCAAATTTCGCCTTATCATGAGCCACTCCCTATCCCCTTATCATATTTCAATTTTCCTCATAGCATTCATCACCTCCTGACATTTAATGTATTTGCCTATTGTTGCTCTCCTCCCACTAAAGTATAAGCTGCAGAAATGGGGTTGACAGATAAAATATGGGACACCCAGTTAAATTTGAATTTTAGTTTTAAAAAAGAATTAGCTTTTGGGGCGCCTGGGTGGCTCAGTCGTTAAGTGTCTGCCTTCAGCTCAGGTCATGATCCCAGGGTCCTGGGACGGTGCCCCGCATCAGGCTCCCTGCTCCTTGCAGGAAGCCTGCTTCTCCCTCTCCCAATCCCCCTGCTTGTGTTCCCCCTCTCACTGTGTCTCTCTCTGTCAAATAAATAAAAATCTTTTAGAAATTTTTAAAAAATGAAAAAAGAATTAACTTTTCATTATGAAGATGTCCCAGATGTTGCATAGAATATACTTACACTTTGAAAAAAAAATTCGTTGTTGATCTGAAATTCAAGTTTTCCTGGTGTCGTGTGTGTGTGTGTGTGTGTGTGTGTGTGTGTGTGTTTTTAAACCTGGCAATCCTACACAGGAAGGCATGTGGTTATTTAGTTCATTGCTGTGTCCCCAGTGCCAGAGCTGCCCCTGACAAGTAGTAAGCTCTCAATAAATATTTATGGAATGAGTGTGTTCAACTAGGTCATTAATCTGTAACACGCCTAAATTTTTCACAAACAGCAAGTGAGTCAGAAGGGCGGAGCCTCTGGACTGGGTCAGCCCAGATCACAACTAGGGGTCTGGCGGCTTCTGAACTTTTCAAGCAGGTCAAGCAGCTGAGTGTTTTGCCAGGAGCAGGTATTGCTGCTCCTGGTAAAAGATTCCAGCCCCCGGACAGGTGAGCGGCAAGGCCCAGGCAGCCTTCCTGGGGGCGGGGCCTCCTCAACCGGTAGGCGGGACCCAGCCCTCGCCGGAGCCACGGCCCTTTAACGCCCCGCCTCCCACCAATTCTAGCGCCCCATGGTGTGACGTCACCGGCGGAGGGCCAATGGAAGCGCGGCTTACTGGCAGGCGGTGCCGGCGGCTGCTGCCAAAGGGGAAGTGAGCTAGGGCTGGAGCGATGGCCCGGGTTTGGAGCCCGCGGCCGCCGCCGCCACCACCACCACCAGCAAGTTGGGAGCAGCTGCGGCTACAGCCGGAGTGGGGGCCGGAGTCGCGGCTGGAGTGGAGGCGGCGCGTGTGAGTTGCCCAGAGTCGCCAGAACACCTCAAACTCGGCGGGAGCACTTCAGGTGGGCTGAGCCGCCGTCGCACCTCCGCACCGCTCTACCCTCCCGGCCCAGCCAGCAGGGCTGGGGTCTCCCAGGTGCGGGACTGGCCGTTGGCAAGCTGAGCCCTCCGAGCCGTGTTCTAGGCCTTCCTCAGTCTCGGGCCCCTTCAAACTCAAGGCCGAGGCCGGAGAACGGTGATCACCCCGAGACCCGGTCCATTTCTTTGGCGCCCAAGCTGTGTCGGGTTGTAGCGGCTTCGAGCCCTCTTCTGCTGCCACCTCTCTAGCTAGGGAGCGAGTAGCGCGTTCTCACTGTTCAGCTCTGCACCTCCCCTTCTTCTCCCATCAAGAACAAGTTTCTTTTCGCTCTCTGCTGGAAGTCCTGCCCCGGAAGGCCAAAACACCCATCTGCGTGTCCTTCCCCAGCTCCCGGAACACACTTAGAAATATAACCTACCTATTCGGAGATAAAGATTGCGTCCCTTGCCACCCGCTTATCTGAGACTCCATGCCCAGAGCCTTACCCATTTTTATCACCAGCTCCTTGGCCATCTCTATGTGACCTCCCCCACCCATCTGAGTATCACTTTCCTCTGGACTCCAGGCGCTAGCCCCCAGCGGATCTGGTCAGTCCCACCCCTTGGTGGGAGTGACCCAGGGCTCTAGCCCAGATTCCCCACCCTGGAAGGCAGCTCCAAGGCAGCGAGAGAATTGGGCGTCGGGTACGATCCTGGCAGCTCAGGAGTGGGTGCACCACTCACCCCACACAAAAAGATGAAGAAGCGCAAAGAGCTCAATGCATTGATCGGCTTGGCTGGGGACAGTCGGAGAAAGAAGCCCAAGAAAGGCTCAGGCCACCGCCTCCTTCGCACTGAGCCTCCTGACTCAGACTCTGAATCCAGCTCCGAAGAGGAAGAGGAATTCGGCTTAGTTGGAAATCGCTCTCGCTTTGTCAAGTGAGTGATGCACTGGTGAGGGGTGGGTGGGGAAAAGGCATTACCTTATACTACCAGTGGGGAAAATTGAAAGGAAGAAGGGTGTTCTTAGAAAAGAAAAAGGGTGTAGACCTTGGGCGGCAAACAGGAAGATGTTAAGGTGATGAGCTCAGGTTCTGAATGAAGGATAAGTTAGAGATCTGTTTTTAAGTGTATGAAGAACTCTGAATCCAGGGTAGCAATATTGACTTGGGGAATGTGCCAAGAGCCCAGAGAGAGCAAGCTGGGAGTGGCAGGAAAGCTAAGAATAGGTACCCGGGAGCAAAGAAGCTTTGGGGACTAGAACTTTTTAAAACGTGTAGTAGAGACAGGAACTTTAAGACTTAAGATTATTCTTTGCACTCTTGATGAGTCCAGATCTTGAAAGTGAGGTGAAATGGTGAGGAACTTACAAAGTATGAGCCTCGAGAATATGTGGAGAGTAGGAAACAAAAAGAAGAGGCAACTTCCTCCCAAACCACTTTTAGATGGTGCAGCCCCCTAGCTAGCAAATCCAGTAGTGAGCTTTGAGGACATTGGGAATTGGGTCCCAGGGTGGGAAAAGGCTGAAGGGAACCTTGAAGGTGTCCTTGGACCCTCTCAGGGAGCACACTGAAAGGAAAGAACATTAGCCTGAGGATGAGGAAGCAAGGGCTAGACAGAAGGTTGGGGTGCCGAAAGAGATTAAATCCTTTGAAGTTTTTTTGTTTAGAATGTCTTTGTCCTTTTATTTTGTTAAAGGAAGAGTTTGGTTTCTAATGAGCTTTGTCAGATTAAGTAGTTAAGGGCGATGTTAGATTTGGGATATGAAGGTCTGGTGAAATGGAACATATCCACTGGAATAGTTGCCTTGTTGAGTTTGTTTACTCTTTACTGTTTACTGCCCTGTTGAGTTTGAGTGCTGTTTGAAGTTTGGTGTGAAATCTAACACCTTTCCGTGTTTCCTGCCTTCTAGGCCAATAAGCTAGAGTACACCAGGTGTCCACTTAAACCTGCAGTGCCGATTTCTTTCATGCATTTGCAGTAAAACTTGCTCAAAAGTTTATGAAGTTTCAGTAATTTGAAACAGGCTCCCCTGGAGAGGATACATGTTAGAAATCAAGAAATAGAAAAAAAAAGAAAGAAAGAAAGAAAGAAAGAAATCAAGAAATAGGTAAATTACGGTGCTATGATTTATTGCAGAGATGCTCTGATCTTGACACTTCCCTAACCTGAACTTGTTGGGAAAGTGACACTTCCCTAACCTGAACTTTGTCCTGAACTTGGGGGGAAATCCGTGATGACGGTTGTGGGCTGCAGTGCCCACAGGATCTCTTTCTGTGTCGTGTGAAGTTTGAAACCTTTATATCCAAAAGATGAACTCTTCATAGGTCATCTTATTTAGTCACTTTCAACCTGCTGTTCAGATTTAAGAATGTGGTACCCAGTGTTCCCTGGTAAATAGCCATATGGTGAAACATGTATGCTATTTCTAATACAGCTGTACTCATAATCACTCTTGTACTCCTGGTTGAATTTGTTCTTATGATCAGGGGAGACTATTTACGATGCTGCAAGATCTGTTATCCCCTCTGTGCTTTTGTCATCCTTGCCGCCTGTGTTGTGGCCTGCGTTGGCTTGGTGTGGATGCAAGTTGCCCTGAAGGAGGATCTGGATGCCCTCAAGGAAAAATTTAGAACAAGTAAGTGGTTGCCTTTTTCAGAATGTTATCTTGCTTCCAGGTTAACACAAAGTGAACCATGCCTAATTAAGAGTTTTGCCCATTCTGATGAAACAATTATATATTCCTTCCAGCCTTCTTATACTCTTTCTTAGCTATCAGCTTGAATGTGGGAACAGTTGTTTGTTTGCTTCTTTTTAAACCCACAAACAAAAATGGTGCTTATGCACCATCAGTACAGATAGCATCTGAAATACTGGCATTGCAGTCAACACCTAAAGTGCAGAAAGGAAGTGCTAAGGAATCTAGAACCTTGGTAAACCTCCACCTGTTGCCACTTTACACTTCCCCAGGTATACTTCCTCAAGTATGAAGTGGCAATACCAACATCAGGCTATTTCCTTCCTCCTCGTAGGGCCATGTGGGAGTATTTGTCAGACAATTTCCTTCTCAAGAAAAACTGTATGGAATGGACAATAATAATAGCTAGCATTTATGGAGTGTCTAGTGTGTACCAAATCACAAATAAATATTTTTCTCATGAGTTTTAAAGCTTAAGAGACTTTATGTTGAAGAGTTTCATATATTCTAAATTAGAAAGTTGTATTTTGCCGCATCTAAGGTACTTTATCCGAAAGGTGTGTTTGCATAGTAGCTTCAACCACATTTGACCTATCTTCCTTTAGCAACACAGATCTTTGGTTCGAGGTTTCAGGGTTTTAGCTTTTCTAAGCTAAAGAACCAGTTTCAAGTTAATCACAGATGCCTTAAGGTTAGCAGCATTAGCACATGGGGAAACTGACCACTAGGCTTTCTCAATGCCATAGCAAAATCTGGCCCCAGAACTGGAATCAGAGTTGTGTCCTCATTTCCCATCTTAGTCTTAGGAGATCACAACTTCCAGGCTGTCCTTCACCCCAGCTTCGCCTTGCTGCCTGCAGTTATTCAAGTTCCGAACCTGACCTAGGGGCGGCTCACCTTTAGTTACTGTGTTAATGATGTTCTTACTGATGTTGCTTGGAAAAAAATGTTGAAATACTAATTTTGGTTTTCTTCTGATTCGAGAAAAGGAATTGAGTAAACCACAATTCTCTGCCAGAATCATCTTGACCTATATATTTAATCAACTGGTGGAATCAGAGTACAGTATAAGAAAGAATGAGATTTTGTATTCTAGTTAATTTCCTTCTTTAATGATTGTCCATACCAGAATTGCAAAAATTTTTTAAAGCCGGTGTTTTCTTTGTAAGTGGCAATGGTAACTTGGAAGTGAGGTTCTCAGAAAGAGTGTTTAACTATGAATAATCGCTAAAGACCCCTGTCTGTGCTCTCATCTCTCTGTAACTAATTGGGCCTACTAGGTTTGTACTAGAGCTTGTTTTGGTCACATTAGCAATCATTTTTTTATACATTTCAAAACATTGCTCACTTCTACCATCCAGGGACTCCTTTCCCTGACTGCTCTATGGCTGTGTTTACAGGACACCCATGTAACTTATACCTTAGCTGAGCTTTTCAGGGAATTTCTTTTTTTAGAAATGTATATTTAAAGTGCACACAGGTCATAGACCTGGCAGTTAGTCAACAAATATTTGTCGATCATTTGCTAATACCAATCCCTGGAAACACTATATTCAGGAGATGCCAGGACGTGTACCCTGAACTGTGAGACCTGCATTCTACCACTGAGCAACAGTCCCCTGGGACCCTGACTACATTTGTTAGCCAGCTGAATGAAGCAGATTTGGAATTGTCAGTCCAGCTGCTTTGTTGTCTTTCGTTTGCTGCAGTAGAAGTGCCAGCCTTGTAATTTCTGGGGGTGGAGCCTGGGGCATAGTCAATCCATTGGCTGAACCATTGTGGACCACTTGCCCAAGAGTTTTTTGTGAAAACCATCATCTTGAGTAAATGAGGTCAGTCTGGTTAAGCTTAAATAGTCTTTCTTTGAATTATATTTCTACTTTAGATATATTTCAGTAAGTTTATTTTTATTTCTTGTTTTTCAAGAGGACAGTGGAAGTCACAGATTCAAAGAAGACCACCTACTGGTCTGGCTTTCATACCTTTTTGAGAAATTCAGAGCCCTTGTTCTTTATTTCAATAAATTTTCAAAGACATTTGTCAGGAAGGGAGGCAGGATTGCTGAAATGTCTGAAATAGGAAGCAAAGCAGATAGAGTTGGTATTTTTCCTTATGGTCAAGGAGCAACTTGATCCTTAAGCTGAAGGTACTCATTGGTCTTGAAACTTAGTTCATTATTCTTTCCAGAACTAAGTACTTCAGAAAACCTCCACAATTATTCTAAGGAAGATTCTGTTCTCAACCATCTCTCCCTGTCACTCAACAATGGAATGCTAGAGTGGAGGGAAAGAATTCAGAAGAGAAGAAAAGAATAAATCAGGCCATTTCCTTTTCAATCACACGACCAGGGTCGCAGTTTGGTCATTTAGTACAGAACTTAAAAATGGTCTTGTAGTTAGGAGAGCATTAGGGTGTAAGTGTCTGACAGCTGGAGTACACTAGAGAGAGTGCTGGTCCTAAGAGCAGAAGGTTTGACTGTCGAATCCTGGGTTGCTCATTACTAGCTATAAAGTATGGATAAGTCCCTTATTCTTTCTGAGCCTACATTTTCCCATCCATAAAACCCAAAGACATATTTATGCCACCAAAACACTTTGGGCATCTCTCTGTCATACCATCCATCCCACTGTGTAGTTATTCTGTAACGACTCCTTGCCTCACTCCCACCCCCCAGACTGAGAGCTTCGGGGTCGTTGGCATGCACTAGTGCTGAGTGCAGGGCTGGGCACATGATAGGGACTCAGTAACAAGTTGAATGATTACATAAAAGTTTATTGCAAACTGAAGGCGTTTAAGTGTAAAATATTGCTGTTAGCATTGTATGTCTTCTGTCTAAAGAGTGTGTGCAAAAATCTCTATTTCCTGATCTTCGAGATCAGGAAAAGAGGTGGTAAGTTCTTTTGAGTATTAATGTACTGGATTTAAATGAGTTGCTTTCCAAGTTGGAAGAACATAAATTATAATCATAAGTTGTTTGTTACACTTCCTCCCATTTAGGTAGCCAAAGTGCCTTGACTCGGCTACTGTCTTCTTAAAAGCCCCAAGTCATATAATGAAAATGATCCTCTCTTGGCTCATAGAATTCTAAGTTATCCAGAGAGTTTTCAGGGCTTGTCAGCTTCATATGTTTGTTAGTTAATAACTGTAACCCAGGTTATTTATGTTTTGTCTTATTTCCTCTAACACTTCCACATTCTACTTCTACTTCTACTCCCACCCTCACCCCAGCTCTTGGGACATTTGAACCCCTGAGAATGGCAGACATGAATGGTTTTACTTGTGGCAGACAAAGTTTTACTTTACAACCTCACTGAAAATGTAGAAGAAAATCATTAAAATGCTGTATTAATTTGGACTAACAGAATGTTCTCACTCTGTAAGATGCATGTACTCCTGCAAACTGATGTAAATCAAATGTTACAGTAAAAGCACTGAGGGAAATCTTTTACTTATACAGAAATCCTTTCATGCATGTTTTTGAAAAATAAAAATATCTAATTTTCTTTTTTAATAATTCTGAATTTGGAGAGAGTGGGCTTGTTTCTGGCAGGGATACCTCCACCACCCCGCCCCCGATTTTTGTGGGGATTTTTTGTTGTTGAGTTTGATTGAATTTTCTTTGTTTAACTTAATAGGACAACACTAACTCCATTTCATACCCTACAATCATTTCCCTGGACAAGCACTAGAGTGCTTCTGTGTACCTGGCACTGTGCTGGGCCCTGGAAATACATCACAAACAAGTCCTGGTCCCTGTCCTTTAGCAACTCTCTGTCTCTCTTAGTCTGGTAAAGGAGACACACAAGTAAATAGTTACAGCACAGTGTGTTAAGTGCTTGATAGAGTTTGCAGTGGTGAAGTGGTGGTGGGCGTCCAAGATGGGAGCCCAGCTATTTGTGGTGAATCTTAAAAGGAAATAAATAGGCTAAGGTAACAGAAATGGAGAAGGGAGAAGCCAAGGGCATCTAGGCAGAAAGAATAGTATGTACAGAGTCACTGAGACTTAAAGAGGTCGGTATGTCTGGAAAATCCACTTTACCAGAAAATAGATTGAAGAGGAAGGTAAAGTGATGCAAAAAGTGGTTGGGAGGTAAGCAAAGGCCAGATTTATGCAGTTAGTGATGCTTAACGAGTGCCTAAAATGTGCCAGGTGTATTCCAAATGCTGACCCTACAGAGAGGAACCAAAAAAAAAAAAAAAAAATCATGGCACTTAAATTTTAGTAAATTGTTTTATATCTTTCCTGTATGCCAGGTTTTTTTGGTTTTAAAGAAAGTATGTAACAACTAATCAGGCAATCTGTGGCTTTAAAAAAAAGTGATGTGGGTTTTATTCTGGAGGATCAGCCATGATCAGTATTTTATTTTTCATGAAAAGGAAAAATATCTTTAGAAACAGAAGAGAAAACACTCTTTCAGGCTTCTGCCTTTAGGCTGGCAAATCTCTAAACCAGTCAGGAGATACTTTTTCCCAAAGGAAAAGCCAAATATCACCCTACACGTCACCTAACATGTTTGTTTATCTTCTGTTTCACTTTGGGCTTTTGGGTTGATTTAAGATTTAAGAAAACACTATTTGCTGTTTATGAAAAAATTTAAAATCATAATCCTCATAACAGCACTTGAAAGGTGGTTAAGAACCCATCTTGCATTTGACCAGTTTGAGAGAGAAAAAAAAAAGTTAGATTTAAGCATTTAGGGATATAATTTTTGACATCACCTTAAGAATTAATGGAGTGAGGTTTATAAATCTCCACTTGACTAATCACAAAGCTCCTTAATTGCTCTGGTTAATACTTAGTATTTATTTATGACCTGTTGTATGCTTGCTCAGCCCTGTTTAGTACTTCACAACCATTCTTTGACTTAATTCTAAAAATCCTATAAAGTATATTTTATCTCTGTATTACAGATGAGGAAACTGAGCTCAAAGAATTTGAGTAATTTACTCAGGATCACAGTAAGTTACAGAGTCCAGCTGTTTCTGCTAATACTTTGTTATCACTTTTAGCCATCTGACTTTTAATTAAAAGTTGTACCCCAGTAGTGAAGTAGCCCCAGTTAAAGTGGTGCTTTCATATTAAAAATATACATTTACATAAATTTTAAAAAACAGTGTAGCTGGTAGATAGGAATTAGTCATCCTACCAGGATTGACTTCTATTAATCTGTCTTCCTCCCTACTGTAAGATCATCTTTTCATCTTGGAGTCAAGAGAGTACTCTGTGGTTATTTATTATTATTCGTATTTTTGCTTTTAGTGGAATCTAATCAGAAAAGCTCATTCCAAGAAATTCCCAAACTTAATGAAGAACTACTCAGCGAACAAAAGCAACTTGAGAAGATTGAATCTGGGGAGCTGGGCTTGAACAAAGTCTGGATAAACATCACAGAAATGAATAAGCAGGTAGCAAATGTGTGATTTTATTTCTGTGTAAGCTGTGAATGTTTAGTTTTGTTTAGTATGAATTTGTAGATATAGAGCAGCACTCACCTCTGATTGTTTTACTTTTTGAGATGACATTTTACATACTGTGATCCCAGCACATTAAGGTTAGGTAAAATGGACAATAGTAATGCATTACCAAATATATAAAATGTTAACCCTTTCTGCAAAGGAATGGTTTTATCAAGTAGAGTGGTTTGGAGGGAGTTGGAAATTCTTGAGTCAGTTTTTCCTAAGGAGCAGTGTAGGTATCAAATAGAATGTCATTCTGACCTCAAAGAAAAATGGGTAGTCTGTTTGTATTGGGTAATAAGAGCTCACTTGGTTTAATAGAGTTCACAAACTCACAGATGCAGCTTGGGCGTAGTGGTGTACACTGTAGTAAAACAAGCCTGTAAGCCATCTGCGGCTAATGATAGTTATTCTAGACTCACACAGGAGGAGGTAGCAGAGTTGGTTAAATACCTTGGCCAGGCAAGGAAGCCTAGAGCAAAAACGTTTTCAGTCCCTAAGTTGACCAGATCTCAGTAGGCATTGATTCCAAAAGAGGGATTCTGACAGAGGGAAGGGGCTAATGCAGAGGATATTAATTGAGCATCTCCTGTGTATCAGGTGCTAGAGTTGTCGCTAGGTCCTGTAGCCTCCGTTCTCAGTTTTTGCAGTTTAGTTAGAAAAGATGTACACTGGCGAGAAGAGTCAAGCACCGGAGGAATGGTACACATGTGGAGTGCTTAGGAACAGATGCGCTGCAGGGCTCAGTCGGTTAAGTGTCTGCCTTCGGCTCAGGTCGTGAGCCCAGGGTCCTGGGACTGAGCCCCGCTAAGGCACTGGGCTCCTTGCTCAGCGGGGGGCCTACTTCTCCCTCTCCTTCTGCAGTTGGTTCCTGCTTGTGCTCTCTCGCTGTCTCTCTCTGGCAAATCAATCAGTCAGTCTTTTAAAAAATAAATAAATATACCATCTTTGTTGGGGCTAAGCAGATACTCTGTTCTTCAGAAGGGAGTCCCAAAGTTCAGAATCAGCCACTGGCAGAGAGCGCCGTGCTGGAATTAAGCGCTTACAGACATTTCCGAAGCTACAGCCAGCTCTCAGCAGCAGGGTGGGGAGTGTGGCAGGTCAGCACTTAAGGCCAGGGGTCAGTGGCCTGCAGCAGTGGCTTTCAGAATTCTCCTGGAACTCACAAAAAGAAATGTTTTATGTCATTACCCAATAAACACATACCTACATACATATATGTGTAACTAAAATAAAAGTTTCTGAAAACGATAACTTACTCTTAGTATGCCTTGCGATATTTTATTTCCTATTCAGTTCTGTTTCACTTTTTTAAATTACTGGTGAAATAACTGATGGGTTGTAGCACCCACTATTTGCTTGTTATCATTTATCTTTGGATTCTCAGTAATTAGGGAGAAGCCAATATTCACTCCCTTTTGTAAAAAGAATAGGATAAATTGTGGCCTTGCTTTTATTGACAGAGCAAATTAGCAGTTTGGTCAGAGATGATATCAAGTGAAAATAGACTACAGTGAAGCACTGAGAAATAGTTCATTAGCATCTCTCACTGGAGCAAACCGTGGATTCCATTGAGAGAATCCATCACGGAGATCACTCTTCTGAGGCAGGGATGAAATCTTTCAAGATGAAAAGTCTATGTCAACTCTTTCTCATCTCATTCATGTAAATCAGCATTGTGGAAAGAATCGAAAGGGGAAATTGGTACTCGGTGTGAGAGGACATACAGTTTATCAGATCTTTGCTACATATTTTGGCCTTTTTTTTTTTCTCCATATTTTGGCTTTGAATTCTCTTTAACCAGGGATCTAGCAACAAAAGAATCATTTTGTTCTTGGATTGGCTCTTAGTTTTAATGCAATAACTACCTGGGAAGGCAGGTATGCAGGAAAAGTTTACTCCAGTCCCAGGGCTTCATATATAAAACCGGGAGAGACTGAACTGAAACCCTTTCCATTTTAGTCTCCTAGACCTTCAGAGCTGAGGGTGGTGACTGCTGAGACCAGCCAGAGCTGGCATGGGCGCAGGAGGCTGGTGGTAGTGCAGTGAGCTTCATGTTGGTCCAAGGGGAGCTCTTCGCTCTCTGAGTGATTTTCTAAAATTACTGTTACACATTATCTGATGGTCTGTTCGAGTAAAAGGCATTTGTCCTAAATCAGAATAGGTATAAAAATAAAATCCGTATTTAATTTCTATGTTTCTGTGTCTAAGGGTAACTGTCAGTTAAGATGCTTTTATTGGCAAATTATTTTTTAAAAAGCAATTCAAAGTGGCTTAATAAGAAAATGGAGTACATCAGTTAACAAGAACTGTCCTTAGCCCAGTGTGAGCTGAAGTTAATGCTAACTGAAAAAAAAAAAAAGCCTTAGTTTGAAATAAGTTAAAATCAAATTTTATATTGAAAACTTTTAAACTAGTAGTTAAAAATCTTGCTTACTTTTCTGTTTTATTCATGAAACCTCTGATTTCATACCCATTGCCTTTCTTAGCCGGTACAGGGAGTGTCCTCCTCCTTCTTTGAAGACTGTTAATTCAACCAGTGCTTATTGAGCTGCTTTTTATAGAGTTAGGCCTTGGATTCAAAACCAAAAATGATGATTCCTGTCCCCAAGGCTCTTATAGCCAAATGGAGGAGACAGAAAAGTAAACAATTATAAAACAGCCTTATGGGCAATAAGAAGTAGGTCCAGATGAGTGCTAGATGGACACTTTTAAGGATGTGTCTATCCAGAATGGCTGGGGCCAGGCAGGGTTCTCTCACATCATGAGCTGAGTCCTGAAGGGCACATAAGAGTTGGCCAGGGGAATTCTGCAGAAAGAGAGAAGGATGTCATAGATAAAACATGAGTAGAGTTGATCCTCATTTGCAGATTCCATATTTGTGAATTCGCTTACTTGCTAAAATTTGTAACCCCAAAATCTATACTTGTGCTGCTTTTGTAGTCCTTCACCGACAGGTGTACAGTGGCAGAATATTTGAGTCACCCAGCACAGACATTTCCAGTTGATGTCAAGCAAGGTGACATTCTGCTTTGTTTCAGCTGTCATACTGTAAACAGATACCCTTTTCGAACTATATTTACTGCCGTGTTTTCACACTTCATGGGGGTTTTTTTTGGTGACTACACTGCTTGACATGTCCCCCTAGCATAGTGCTCAAGTACTGTCTAGTATTCCTAAGTGCAAGAAGGCTGTGATGTGTCTTCCCCCGACCCCCTTTGGTCAGAGAGAGAGCACAGGAACACATATAGGCAGCAGGAAGCAGGCTCTCTGCTGAGCAAGGAGCAAGGAGCCCGAAGCAGGGCTCCATCCCAGGACCCTGGGATGAAGGCAGAGGCTTAACCAACGAGCCACCCAGGCGTCCCAAGGCTGTGATGTGTCTCACAGAGAAAATACATGTGTTAGATCAGCTTCAGGCATGAGTTCAGCAATGTATATTTAATAAGATGTCTTTAAATAGAAACAGTTATAAAACAAGGTTATATATTATATTGACCAGTTAGACAAAAATGTGACCAGACAGCTCTCAAGAACCTAACCCTATACTTCCCTTAGGAGCAGTGGTTCAGTATTCACTAATTCAGTGTTTGCTGCAACTTTCTAGAGCATAACTATTGTGAATAACGAGAATTTACTGCATGTCCAGAAGAAAAGACAAATGAAAAACAGCGCATTCGGGGAATTTTAGTAGTACATCATAGCTAAGTTTGGTGCAAAGAGGCCAGAAGTAAGGATATGTCAGAAAGAGCCATATCAAGAAGGACCTTGAGTGCCCTTCTGTATGTTCTCTTTCTCTTGGCACTCAGTCCTAATACCTTATATGATAGTTATTTGTGTATGCCTCTAATTATACTAAAACTTGTGAGTTTTAAGCATGATGGTGGCAATGATGAGAACAATTAAGATGATAACTGCCATTCATTAAATGTTTTCTTTGTGCAGGCCACATGTGAGATCTCCTTTTTTGCTTCAATAGCCCTATGAAGTAGGAGGTGGTATCTCCATTTTACAGATAAGAAAACTAGGCTCAAAGAGGTTAAATGGTTGGCTCAAGGTTGCACAGCTATGTAGCAGTACTAATATTAAAATATGTAAGGCCTAGGAGCGTGTTTTCTTTCCAGTTTTTCATTCTGCCTTACATCTTTATATTAAGGATGCAGTAGGTGCTCAGTAGATCGAGTTGGAAGGCTGTGATATCAGGTCCTATTAGGGCACATAATCATTCATCATTGATGATTATCTGTTTTAGTAACTCTTTTACTTACTATATAAAGAATCCTTAATTTTAATCCCAAAGTTAAAAAAAAAAAAAAAAGCAGCGTTTCAGGCTCTATAGTATAAAATGGTCTAATAAGCAAATGGTCTACAGTAGTTATTTTTAATTCTGCTAATGAAAAGTCATGTAATATGCATAAAAGTCATGATTCATCTTTTGGCAGGAATGTGGGTTTTTTTCTTAATGGTTTCTACTTAATTCAACTTTTTAGACTCTTTGAACTATATTTTGTGACTTTTAGAGATAGATTATGTAGTGCTTGAATCTGATCTGACATTCTAGAATATCTATCAGAGACTAGAGCAGTAAAAGGAGAGTTCCCCTTGTCTCTCCATTCTAGTTACACATGTAGCTTTGCTGTACTTTTCCACAGATACTGACTTTTCTTCCCTCTCACAAGAGGAATGCTGAAAAATGGAATCCGGCTTTGCAGTTTGAGAATGTAGCTGAGTCTTAGTGACCAATGTGGGGTTCAGGTCTTGTAAATGAGTAAGAAGTCCTAAGTGGTGTTTGGTATTTAGAGAGTTAATGGTCAGCTCTCCAGGGCATACTCTTTCAGGGAAGCAGCTGATACCCTAGGCCTGGGGTGTTTGGGGGATGGGGAGAAGTGGAACAATACTTTACCTTGTCCTACTTACATTGACTTGCACCTGCTCCTCTGCTTTTGGGTGAAGTGGTAGTGCCTCCAGCCACACTGGCCATTTGGGAGGCCATTACCATTCTTGAGATGCTTCTGATTAGCTTCAGGATCTATTCCTGGGAGAATAGTTTCTACCTAGATCACTCCACCCAAAACACAGTTTGTGTCTTTTAGGATCTGGCCAGTTGTCAGTGGAAGCAGTATGTTCCCTTAGGTCTCCAAAAGATAACCACACAATTGATAGGGCATTTGGAATTACTGTATTCTTGCCCATCAAGTTGGTATTGAGTCAATTGTATACATACTTTAGGGCACTGAGTAAAACATACCTGGAGAAGGCCTCCTTCCTTGCACTTTATGACTAAGCACATTAAGATAGTCTTGGAAGACCCAGTGAAGGGCATGGAAGAAAGGGCCAGCCTAGGAATTCTGTTAAATGCTTCCAGAGTCATGGTGTCTTTTTTCTATGTGTGTATTTCTCTTCCATCTTTTGTCTTTAAAATTTTATGAGTAATATATGTGTGTATTCTTACATAAGGTTTAAACAATAAAATACATAAGGAACTCCTTAAGAAAATTTCCCTTTAATGCACATCTCAGTGTGTTCCCCCATCACACACATTTCCAGGCCCCACAGGTGTCCACTGCCATTAGTCTGGGCTGCATTCTTCTAGCCTCCTTTCTGTGAAAATCTTAATAGCTTTTAATAAGAATTAGTTTATGCATTAGTGTGTGTGTATGTGTGTGTGAGAGACCAGATGGATGGAGTTATTCCCTGTATATTGTTCCACAACTTCCTTTGTTCACTGAATATATCTCCTCATCCTTAGTAGACATTTGGGTGGTTTCTAGGGTTTACTATTACAAATAGGGGAAGCAGTAGATTCTGTTGTGCATACATCTATGTGTACATGAGCAAGGATTGTGTAGATAGAGTTCTAGAAATGAAATTGCTTAATTAAAGGATATTTTTATTTATTTTATTTTTATTTGCCAGAGAGAGAGAAAGAGAGCAAGTGAGCAGAAGTTGGGGGGCAGAGGGAGCAGCAGACTCTCTGCTGAGCAAGGAGCCCAATGGGGGACTCAATCCCAGGACTCTAGGATGATGACCTGAGTCAAAGGCAGACACCCTATACATAAGAATGCCTATTTCCTTTAAGTCCTTTTCAAACCTCAGTATTATGCATATCTTTTTAAAGGTGTGGATTAAAACAATCTCCGTGATGTAATCGCTACCCTTAAGAGGTTTATTGTTTGCTGAGAGTATCTCTCTGTTTGCTGAGGTTTCTCACCCATCTTGTTTTTAAATGGCTAGAGTTGGAATGTTGAAGATTAGTCTGAATATTTTAGCACATTTATGGAGAATGACATGTTTTAAGTGCTTATTAAATTTCACTGTTAAAGAACTAATACTAATTTGGTATTTTGTTTGTACTATGTACTGTGCTAAGAGCTTTAGTTATATATCTCATTTCATCCTCATGGCCTGTATTAGTCATCTGTCTCTATGTTACCTTCATCCCAAAACTTAATGACTTAACAGAAGAAGCATTTATTGCCTCACAGTTTCTGTGGGTCAGGAATTTGGGAGCTGCTTAGTTGAGTAGTTCTGGCTAAGATCTCTCTAAGGTTGCTTTTAAGGTCTAGGCCAAGGCTGCATCATCTGAAGGCTTCCCTACACCTGGAGGATCTTCACCCACATGGCTATTGTCCACAGTTCTTAGTTCCTCTCAACGTGGGCTTCTCTACTGGGCTGCTTGTGTGTTCTCACAACACAGCAGCTGGCTTCCATGAGTGAGTGATCCAAAAAGCAGCAAAGAAGCAGCCCTGGTGCTTTTAACGAACTAGTTTCCAAAGTTGCCCATTTTCTCTTCCACTTTATTGGCTAAAAGTGAGTCAGTGGGAATGGGCCATGTTCAAGGGAAAGGGATTACATTCCACCTGTTGAAGAGAAGACTATCAGAGAATTTGTGGACATATTTTAAAACATTCATATATCCCTATGAGATGATTGTTAAACAGTTTTTATTGTTCCAGCCATTTTACTGGTGAGAAAAATGAGTCGACTTCTTATTTAGGTGTATCTCCTCCTTCCTGGCCTCTATCCTCTACTCTGCTTAGACTAGTCTTCTCACTGTCCTCCTAGACAGAGTGTTCTTTCTCAGCCATACGTTCATTCAGTGAATACTTACTGATGCTTGTCTGTATGCCGGGCATATTATGGAAAATGCTGAAATAGACATGGTCTGTATGTCATGGAGCCTACAGTCTAGTGCAAGACAGAATCTTTAATCAAGTCATCACACAAATAAATAAGTCATTGTCACTTTGAGAAAGACCGTGAAGAAAAGGTATTCTTGGGCCTATTCATGCTGTCGTTCCCTACCGATATCCTAATGCCACACTCATCTATTTAACCTAGAAAGGAAACCTGCTTTATTTTTATATATAAAAGTCTTATTTCTCCATCAGAGTCTAATTTGAATCCCACTTCAGTGAAGCCTGTCCCTTTTGGCCTACACAAATATCTTTTTCTTCGAACTTTATTCAGTTTCACATCTAGTACTTAATTATTTCTTTAATGTTACCTAACAGGGCACCTGGGTGGCTCAGTGGGTTAAAGCCTCTGCCTTGGGCTCAAGTCATGATCTCAGGGTCCTGGGATCGAGCCCCACATCAGGCTCTCTGCTCAGCAAGGAGCCTGCTTCTCCTCTCTCTCTCTGTCAAATAAATAAAATCTCTAAAATAAAAAAATGTTACCTACCTACCTCTACTCTTCTACCTCCCCCTCTTTGTGTCTTCCTTCTCCTCTCCCTTTCTTACTCACATTATGTGTTCCTCCCACCAAGCCTCCTTTCTGTTCTTCAAATATGCCAAGCTCTTCCCTGCACTGGGGCATTTGCCCTAGCAATTCCCTCTGCCCTGAAATGCACTCATTAAGTCTTTGACTAAGTCCTTCTTGTTATTAAGATCTCAGTTCAAATTTTATCTCGTCTGACAATCTAAAGTCACCTTATTTAAATTTTCTTCTAATGCACCCCACCATCCTGTGTTTTTCTTACATAAAATTGTCTGTCTCTTTGCACTAAAATGTAAATACTACAAGATCACTGTATTTTCACCACTGGTATGGAATAGGGCTCATTTGTTGCAGTCATGAATGAATGAAAAATGGCCTGAAGCTCCTGCATATATCCCTCTTAAAAAGCAAGAGGGAAAGAGGCCTGAGATCCTGGGCTTCTTACAATGGACTTCCTGGTTGAGAACATGCTGCCGCTTGCTCCAGGATGCCTGTTGAAATTCCTTGCTCATCTGATACTTTTCCTCTTTATTTTTCTTTCACCTTCTACTAGGATGTAAGCTCCTTGAGAGTAAAACCTCACGTTCTTGTTTGCGACTGTCTGCACAGTGCCTGCGGCAGTGCCTAACACAGAGACACCCAGCACTGGTTGAAGGAAATAAGAAGGGATCAGGTTCACTTTGTCTGCTGTCCATCTGCTACTGCCTACCACAGTGTTAGGCACATAACAGATGCCCAGAAACTTCAGTGGTTACTCTGTGAGGCCATTCAGAATATAATTGCATCAGTAGATCTGTGTCTTCATCCTAGAATTTGGGGCAGGAAAGCAGTTTGGAACTAAGACTCGAAGAATGTTTTGAGCCACACTACAAAGGTGTTAGGATGTGATCTCTGCTGCCTGAAATTATGTATTATACAGGTTCCCCCAGTCCTCCTTCAAGAGAGAAGTCTAGCCATTTAGAATTCTACCCCTACATAGCAGAAGGGAAGACACATTCAATTCAATTCAAAGAATTCAAAGAATTATTCAATTCCTATTTTAATACAAGTACTGCATCAGTCAGCGTGTCAGTGGGTATTTATGGAGCCCCTTTAGGTACAGAGTAGTACTTTGGTTGAGCTATTGAGTTTGAAATATTAATCACATTGTTAAACCAAAACTGAATCTCCAAGTAGTTTAAAGTGTTGCACAAGTTCCTGTAGACTGTATTTTGTGATGATGGGCTTTTACTTTATAATATATGTTCCCACTTGGTCAGGAACAAAAGTTCAGTAAATAACCAAGGTGTTATTTTTTACCAAAATGAAATCTTTCAGGGGTTCTTGATCATTAGCTTTCTCCCTGTCCAATTGTTGAGGGATCGTGTTGTAATCACTGCAACTTTTCGGTAACAAGACTTGGATCTTGTAGCTACCAGGAGTAGGGTAAGGAATAATACTTGCCTTTCCCTCTTTGGCACTGGTGTTTAAATTGGGCAGGGAAAGTGTGCCTGGGTAGCACATTGGTTAAGCGTCCAACTCTGGGTTTCCACTCAGGTTGTCATCTCAGGGTCCTGAGATTGAGCCCTGAGTTGGGCTCCACACACAGCATGGAATCTGGTTGGGTTTTTCTCTCTCCCCCTCTCTCCCCATCTCTCTCTCTCTCCCTCTCTCTCAAATAAATAAATAAATCTTTATTTTTTTTTTTTAAAAATGGGGGCAGGGAAAGAAGAGGTATTACTGCTGCCTTCTAGATCTCAGCTCTATCCAAGATACTACAGTTCCTCCACTCTTGTGAGGTGGCAAGGTATAATGTCTGGATCACAGAAATGCTTAAAAGCCGAGGGCACCTTGAGTCTGTGGAGGAAGTATTCATTCTCCAAATTCTCTTTTCATTGTTACTCTCTTCCTTTCAGATTTCCCTGTTGACTTCTGCAGTAAACCACCTCAAAGCTAACGTTAAATCAGCTGCAGACTTAATTAGCCTGCCTAGCACTGTAGAGGGCCTTCAGAAGGTAAGTGCTACATGTGGGCACTGAGATTAACTTATTGCTACAGCTTCTAACAAATCTTCTTTGAAAGCATGGCATTTGAAATCAGCTATTCCCAGAGGGCAGTAATCGAGTATATCACTGTGTTCTAAACAGTTCAGAACTTCTCTGTTTTGGTTTGGTTAGTTGGGCATTTAATTTGCAACAGGTGAGTTTAGTTGTTTTTGTCTTTTTTTTTTTTTTTTTTTTTTTTTTTTTTTTTTTTTTTTTTTTTTTTATGGATTTACACCTTTTTATTTGGCTCTCTGAATCCCGAGATTGCTGTTCTGGGGCTCCTAGAGGTTAACATACATGGGTTTGCTTCTCATCACTTGCATTCTCAATTCATCATCCACAGTGTCTTCATGAAAGCAGACCAACTGTAGAAGAGAGTTGCTCTAGATGGCTATTTTTTTTTTTATGGTTGACAAAGAAGTTTTTTAAAAACATAAGATTGATAATTGGGGAAAATGCAGAATTTCACAATTTAGGGTATAGTAAGTGTTGGCAAGGATATGGAGCAAAGGTAACTTTAAAACAGTCCTGCTAGGAGTATAATCTAGTACAAAGCATTTTGGAAAACATTAGATATTATTTTATAAAGGTAAAGGTGCACATCCTCTAAGTAATTCACTCTGATGTACCCTAAACTCTAGGGCCTAGGAAAAAATGATTTAGAACATTCATTTACTTGATCTCTAGGATTCAGGCACAGAGCAAGAGGCAGCAACCAACCAGACAAATAGTATACAGCAGTCGGGAGAGCTGGATGGGGAGAGTGGATGGGGGTAGGAAGGAAAGAAGTGTCCCTAATTGGGACACAAACAGCATTAACCCCTGTAGCAGGAAATGGAAGAAGGGATTCTGGAGTTAAGGGGACCTTAAAAAATGGGTGTCAAGGGCGCCTGGGTGGCTCAGAGGGTTAAGCCTCTGCCTTCAGCTCAGGTCATGATCTCAGGGTCCTGGGATCGAGCCCCGTATCGGGCTCTCTTCTCATCAGGGAGCCTGCTTCCCCCTCTCTCTCTCTGTCTGCCTCTCTGCCTACTTGTGATCTGTGTCTGTCAAATAAATAAATAAAATCTTTAAAAAAGAAATGGGTGTCAGATCTAAGATCTTTGACTTTTCAAAGTTAGTGTATAGAAGTTTGATTTGACTATATGCCAGGCTCTATAAACATATCAGTTGTTTCCACATGCAGAAACAGAACTTGCTACTTTATAGTCATTCCACCTGTGTGTGCTCAGTCTTCATAGTCTGCTATTTATCCAAGATGGTCATCTGCTTACAAGTTAAAAGTGGGGTCGGCGGGGTGATGATGGGAGTAGGGGAAGGCAAGGAAAGAACTGTGATGAGGCAAGTTCTTGCCATTATTCCCCATGGTCAAATGTTTAAAAGGTAGGCTTCTGCGGTCTTTAATACAGAAGCAACTATGGCAGTCTTGCATTAGAAAATGATACTGGTTTATTATATTAATTAATTCAGTAAACATTTGTGGAGCTTCCTCCAGTTTGTGCCAGGCACTTTGCTGTTGGTGAGAATACTAGTTCCAGGGTATTGCTCTAGAGTTCGCATGGCTCTGTCAGCTGCTTCCTTAAAAAAAAAAAAAAAAAAAAAAAAAATCTTAAACAAGAGCTTACTATCCTGCATCCTAATGGGCTCATACATCCAGCAAGGCGGGATTGTCTAACAGTAAATGTCTTTGAATGCCCATAGCTTCTCTAACAACAGAGCTCTCATACATAACACCCCAGCTTAGAGACTTCTACCTAGTGTGTTTTCTCTTTGGGAATCTGTACACTTAAAATGTCAGATACTACTTTTAATACAAGTGGCTCCATTTTGAAGTGGAAGATCTTCTCAAACACCTGACTTCAATGTATCTCATGATTCTTTTTTTTTAAGGTTTATTTATTTATTTGACAGATAGAGATGACAAGTAGGCAGAGAGAGAGGGGAGGAAGCAGGCTCCCTGCAGAGCAGAGAGCCCGATGCGGGGCTTGATCCCAGGACCCTGGGATCATGACCCGAGCCGAAGGCAGAGGCTTAACCCACTGAGCCACCAGGCGCCCCCTGATTTTTTTTTTTTTTTTTTTTTTTTTTTTTTTTTTTTAATTTCGAAATGTCATTTCTTGGTCTTTTGGGCTCTTGGCTGTCAGTATAATAAAAACAACCTTGGTTAAAAATACTAATGTATTTACCATAAAACTATAAAACTGGAATACCTGGGAGGCTCAGTCAGTTAAGCATCTACTTTTGGCTCAGGTCATGATCCCAGGGTCCTGGATCGAGCCCTTCATCAGGCTCCCTCTTCTTTCTCTGCCCCTCCCTCTGCTTTTGTGCACATGCTCTCTCTCAAATAAAAAAACAAAAACTTAAAAAAAAAAATAAAACTATGAAACTGCCAGTATATCTTAATAATAGGCCAACACCCACCAAATAGTCTTGTGGATGTTCTTTTAGGACAGGTCTTTTTAAAATGATGGTTTCTTGGGATGCCTGGGTGGCTCAGTTGGTTAAGCAGCTGCCTTCGGCTCAGGTCATGATCCCAGCGTCCTGGGATCGAGTCCCACATCGGGCTCCTTGCTCATCAGGGAGCCTGCTTCTCCCTCTGCCTCTGCCTGCCATTCTGTCTGCCTGTGCTTGCTCTCTCTCCCTCTCTCTCTGACAAATAAATAAATAAAATCTTTAAAATGATGGTTTCTGAATCATATTTTCCAAGTACCAGTCCACTTGGGCTTCTTAAGCCTAGTGAAGACTTGCATCTCATTCCACTCAGCAGTTGCTGGTGTGATTCTAAAGCAAAAGAGGAGCAAATGCTGCCAAATGGAAATTTTCCTTCATCTCTGCAACACTGGGTTTCCCAAAGCCAAAAATGGTTCTACCCATTGTCATTCAAAAGTCATCATTTGCTCCTGACACAGTAGCAGTATATCGTTAGCTGTGACCTTCTGCTACCTACCACATGGCTTGGTAAGGGCAGTTTGTGGGAGACCCTTATCAGTGGGTCCCAGATTTATGAACTAGTGTTTGTTTTTTAAGAAAAAGGTATGGTTTTTCTCTAGGAAAAGTCCTTTAAATTGGGAAAACTATATGTTTTATATATATATACATATGTGTGTATATATATATATATACACATACACATGTGTATGTATATATATATATATACACACACACATGTGTATGTGTATATATATATATATACACACATATGTATGTATATATATGTGTGTATTTTACATATACAGGTGACCCTGGAACTATGCAGTCCACTTCTATGGATTTTTTTTTTTTTTTTTGGTAGATAGAGTACAATACCATAAATGTATTTTCTCTTAGGATTTTCTTAACATTTTCTTTAGCTTTATGGTTAGAATATAATGTATAATACATATAATATATAAAATATGTGTTAGCAGTTTATGCTATTGGTAGGCGTCTGGTCAACAAGCTATTAGTAAAGTTTTGGGGGAGTTAGAAGTTACATGTAAAAAAGTTACATGTAGATTATCAATCGCAAAATTGAGCAACTGCATGGTTGAAGGGTCAACTGTATATCAACAAACGTGTAGTTTCCTATTAATTGTGTCTGCATAAGCTACATGAAATTCAGTTTGAAGAGACTTGAAATAATTAGAAACACTGAGCTTCTTTAGGTCAGTGTTTGATGTAAAATAAAATAACAGTGATAGACCACTGCATTCCTAAAAGAATGGCTTAAATGAAAAAGACTGAGAGTACCAGTATTGATGCATATATAAAGAACGGAATTCTCCTACACTGCTGGTAGGAATGTAAAATGGTATAACCATTTTAGAGCACATCTTGGCAGCTTTTTACAAAGTTAAGCATATATCTACCGTATGATTGGCCATTTACCTTCTAGGCATTAGGATGATGAAAAAGCATACAACAGAGAGAAATGAAAACACAGGCCCACATAAAGACTTGCACATGAATGTTGATAGCAGCTTTATTTGTACTAGTCAAATACTGAAAGCAACCTAAATGTCCATCAACAGGTGAGTAAACTCTGTTGTATCCATATGATGGAATGCTCAGCAACAAGCTAAGTGGCTACAACATGGATAAATCTTAAAATGTGAAGCTGAGTGAAAGAAGAAACAAAACCAAAACCCACATACTCACTCACTGGCCCTATTTATACAACATTCTAGAACATGCAAACTGATATGTGGTGGATCAGTGGCTGCCTGGAGGTGGGGGAGGGAAGAATCACAAAGGGGTCTAAGGAAACTTGGGCGATGGTTGTTCGTTATCTTGATCATGCTAATGGTTTCCTAGGTGTATATGTCAAAACTTGCCAACCTTTTTGAATATGTGCCGGTCATTGTGTACCAGTTACATCTTAGTAACACTGTTAGAAATTTCAAAAAGAAAAAGACACTGGCCTTACAACATATTTCTGTTCAGAGTGTAGCTACCATTGGCAACACTTTAAACAGTGTCCATCTTGCTGTGGAGGCAATACAGAAGACTGTGGATGAACACAAGAAAACCATGGAGTCACTGCAGAGTGACATGGTAAGGAAATCTACAAATGCTACAGGAAGTCAGCATTCTGCCTGCCCTCTTCCGTGTAATAGGAGTGATGCCATCTTCCCATTCATCTCAACAGACCTTACTATGCACCTTTTTAAAAGATATAATCTGTAAATTATACAGTCAAGGAGGATAAAATTAAAAGCTGAGTCTTCTGTGAACATAGTGGAGAAAGTAACAGCAGTAAGATACAGTTTGAGATGGAATGTATAGGAAGGAGAATGGAGTAGAAGGAAAGGGAAGTGTCACAAGTATTGATTGCTACATAACAAATCACCCTAAACTTAGTGGCTTAAAACAACACATTATCATTTCTCACTGTTTTGTGGGTCGGGAATTTGGACAGAACTCAGACTATGAAATGATGAGAGGCCAAGTGAAAAGGACTCTATAAATGAAAGGCTATTTGGGATGTTCTGGCACTAGCCAGACACTCAGTTGAATGCAGCTGTGTGTGTGTGTGTGTGTGTGTGTGTGTGTGTGTGTGTGTGTGTATGTGTGAAAGAGAGAGAGACTTGAGCCTGCACCATGTGAAACAGAAGAATACCCCCACCCCCTGAGCCCAGTCAACCCACGAATCATGGCAAATAATAAATTGCTTTAAGCCACAAAGTTTGGGGATGATTTGTTATGCAGCAGCAGATAAGTGAGACAGAAGCAAACCCCTGCAGTGCTCAGGAATTGTTTTCAAATGTCTCTTCATGTTGTGTGGGTCTAAGTGGTCTATACTCATTCAGAGGCCTTATCAATCATGGGGCAGAGTACTCTGTCCCGTGAAAGATTTACAAAGGGAGAAAAGGATGGCATAGCCCTCGCCTTGCTGGGGAGATGAGTTATATGTTCATGAAATCAGAACTGTTCAAGGCACACAAAAGTTCCCCAGCTTTTCCGCTAATTTCTAGGTCTAGCCCACATACTCTTTTCCAGCTTTGGAGTTTCAAGTTTAAACTGGGCAAATTGTACCAAGGAGATCTGGGTTATATTAGAGCTCCAGAAGGTCTAGAAGGGGTTTTTCATTTCTTCTAAACAGGTACTCCTCACTGATATTTAATGGGGCTGACCCAGAGGAACAGACATTGAGCTAGTGTTCAGACACTCTGGATTCCAGTTCCACCTCTGCTGCTGAGTAACAGTGGGGTACATAATAATCTCAATAATTTTTTCATTACTCTTATGTTAATATCTTGAGCATTTTCTCAAAGTAATAAATATTTTCCAAAATACATGTGTTTCCTAAGTCAAAAATTCATGCTCTAGATCATTGGGTTTTTTCTCCCACCTCTCTTTTTTCTTTATTGTTGCCTTTTGTTTCTTATAAAAGGAGGGTTGATAAATGTCTAGGATTTCAAATTTCAGGGAAAACTGTTTATTTTCCCTAATTGCATTCTGGTATAATTAAATCTGCGTCTTTTAAACTTCCATGGTTGCCAATGGTAATCCTCGCCACTGGCACATTTTATACTAAGTCATAGATACGAGCTCTGAAAGATTAAGCCATCCAAAGTTTTTCCACTAGAGGAAAAAAGTGTATATCAATGTGTTATACTTCAGTCTCTGCCAAGAGAGACTTTAGCAGCGGGAAGGAGATGGGAAGGGAAGGGTAACACTCAGACATAAATCTTGGCATGTGCTGTAAAAGCTGAAAAATGAATAATGTGTATGATTGGTTGTTGTACTTAGAGCCCAAGGCTAGTGGTTACATGTCTGGCTATTCCTTGAGTGCACAAACCTCTTTAGTCCTGGGGAAGTGATGACACTAGCCAGGTCCAGACTGAGTTGGCCCCTGGGAGGTTCTAGTGATTCTGTAGTTGATCTGGGAGTATGGGTAATAGAGGAGAGAAGGACTGGTTCTGGGGAGTTCATTCCATTCAGAGACAAGAAACAGACTAGGCAGATCTCGGTTCCCTGATGTGTCTGGGTGCTGCTGGTCCAGTCCATGCTTCAGGCTGGCATTCCCAAAAGAATCTGCTGCCCTTGGAGCCTAGCACAAGACTGGTCACACTGTAGACTCCTGGGAAATAATTATTGATTAATCTGTGAATGCCCCCTCTGGGAAACTAGAACATCCTAGGACCATCCCAGATGGTTAAGTAGGCCTGGTAATTAGTTGTTGCCTATACTAACCTCCATTTCTGTTAACAGAATCGGCACTTCTTGAAAGAGACCAGTGGAAGCAACCAGCTCATTCCATCACCTTCAGCTACATCAGAATTTGACAATAAAACCTACAGTGAGAATTTGAAACAGGTACTTTTCTGTTTCTGGCTTAACTCCCTGTGCCCACAGTGGACTTTGGGGGCTGCCTGAATAATTGGGCTCAGTGTTGTCACGCCTCATCCCAGGCATATATTTGCCTGCCTGAGAGCTGAGCAGACAGCAATGTGTTTTGCTATCTTAGGAATCCAAGATGCCATCCTGGCTCTTCTTTGGCACTCTGCTTTTTTCCCCTGCATGTCAATCAGTGGAGTAAATTCCTTTTCACATCTTGGAAGACATAGGATAGCCAAATTATCCTGAAACTGTTTATGAAAAGTAACAATCTGGGCAAGTTAACATTTCTAAAATGTTGGAAAGCATATCCCTGGAAGTCAAGATTTTCTAAAGACAGGAGGGAAAACGCTATTGAATTCAGAATCACATTAAAGAGAATAAAGGCAATCTTCACTAAGAAGAATTCCTGTCCTGAGTTTAATGCCCTCTAAAACCTATAGTCATCATTCCTTTTTAAGTGGCGATCAGTACTAGAGGATGTCAATAAAAATAATTGAATCTTATACTAAATAATGCACTACTTGTTATGGTTTTGCTACATGAGCCAATTCGGTAACTGGTATTGTTCCTAAGGTAGTTTTGTTCTGACAAATTAGGTTAATAGGCGTTTCAGTTAATAACCCAGCAAGCTTTCCTGCCAGCAGGTGAGGTAAACATTGGGAAATCACTTTCCAAGCTCTCAGCTTTCTGGGACCAGAGAGTGAATCATGTAGGTAGTCCCCTTTCCCCTCTTGTCTAGCTGAGGTCAAACAATTCCAGAGGGAGTGACTTGGAGCAATTTAGAGTGGAGGAACAAAGCCAAGACAGACAATCAATGGTCTAAAACAGGAAAAGGAGTTTACTTCAGTAACGTGACATAGTAATGGTTGTTTAGTGCTCCTGGCCTGCTTGTCGAGTGTATGTCTTTAGCTGGATTCCACAATTTGATTTATTTCCACTCCAGGATATCCTGTACCTTCACAACTCTTTAGAGGAGGTAAACAGTGCCCTAGTTGGGTACCAGAGGCAGAATGATCTTAAACTCGAGGGGATGAATGAGACAGTCAGTAACCTTACCCAGAGAATCAACTTGATAGAAACAGATCTTGTTGCTGTGAGCACGGTAGAAAAGCAAGCGAACCTGTCCCTCAGCATGGTAAGCCTTTTTGGATCCTTTGTGGTATGTTCTGTGTTGCAGTGTGTTTTGTCTGTACGTGGATGACACTCCACAGACTTTTCAGATCCAGCCCCCTGGCATGTTTGAGAGGCTACGTGTTCATACCATGCTTCACACTAGCTTTGTGATAAAGAGTGGCACAGGCAGAGTTAGCCCTGATCTGGAAGGGGAGGTGTGAAGGAGGAGTTGCATGGCTTGCCAGGGCCACACCACAAGTCACTGGCAGGAATGACAAGCCTCCTGTCATGTTACCAGTGACCAGTCTGATGGGGAAGCTCTGGCACATACTTCCAAGGGAGGTCTTCTTGCTCTTTTTTAAGTTGGTAAGGGTGGGAGCATTGACAGTGACAATGACTAAAGAATCTTTTGCCATTGCTTTTAGCCTGAACTTGACTTTCAGATTTATCCTGCTTGGTCTGCATGTTAGGGTGAACCTTTTACATGTAACGCAGGAAAGCCATTTAAAACGGACCAGACCAGCTCCTCCACTTGAGAGATCATTGAGTCCATCCTCTCATTTTACACAAGCATACTAAGTAACCTAAGTCACTGATGCTGGCAGACCGTGGGTTTTACTGGTTTTCATGTTATTGTCAATAAAATGTGTGCTTTTTAATCCCCTTCATATGGACTTTGTGCTGGGATCCACAGGGATTATTTTTTTTTTTTTAGATTTTTTATTTATTTATTTGACACACACAGAGACATCACAAGTAGGCAGAGAGGCAGGCAGAGAGAGAGGGGGAAGCAGGCTCCCCGCTGAGCAGAGAGCCCGATGTGGGGCTCAATCCCAGGATCCTGAGATCACGACCTGAGCCGAAGGCAGAGGTTTAACCCACTGAGCCACCCAGGTGCCCCTCCACGGGGATTATTTTTTAAATAGCTGCAAGCCCCACCCTTAAAGATGTCCTGCAGCAAAGACACAGGCATATGTAAAGAAATGCAAACCTAAAACAAGAAATTATACCATAAATGGGAGGAAAGTAGCAGAGCTAGAAGCAAGCCCACAAGGAAAATTGAAGCCTGGCACCCAGACATCAGGTTGTGAGCCGGCTCAGCCACAGTGGAGCCGTGGCAGCTTGCTTGGAGGGTGGAATCAGAAGACCTGTTCCCCCTCCTGCTTTACAAAGGTGTGTCATATACTGCAAAGCTGGGAAGATTAAAGGAGCCTTATTTTATTTTATTATTATTTTTTTTTTTTTAGATTTTCTTTATTTGACAGAGAGAGACCGAAGGAGAGGGAACACAAGCAGGGGCAGAGGGAGGGGGAGAAGCAGGCTTCCCGCTGAGCAGGGAGCCTGACTCAGGGCTCGATCCCAGGACCCTGGGATCATGACCTGAGCAGAAGGCAGGCGCTTAACGACTGAGCCACCCAGGCGCCCCAAGGAGTCTTATTTTAAAAAGCACTTTTGAACTCTGCTAAGTCGGGGCTAGGAATTTGGGGTGATTTTATGAGTTAGTAGGCCTTGAAGGTTTTCAAGGCTCACAGTGAGGACTTTCTGCCCCAAGCTGCCCGTCCTGTCCCTCTCCTCTCCACTTTTTTTTCCTCCAGAGAGGAAATTGTTGGTAGTACCATTTGTCCTGCTGTGTCTTCCAGCAGCATCCTACCTAGCATACTTCTGGGTGTAAGTCCTCTCGCTGTTTATGCTTCAGAAGTTTTAAGGTTTGTGAAGCACCAGTTTCAGCTTTGTATCTCAGCAACATTTCTCCCTCCCCTCTCATTCGCCTACTGGTATTTCTGTTGAAAGTACTCTGAGAACCTTTAAAGAAGTTTGACCAATTTGTTTTTAAAGTGTTAGATGTTGTTTAAGTTTTAATGTTTGCCTTTAATCTTGTTGTTTTTACCCTTTAAGATGGATGAAAGAGCCACCACTCTGAAAAGAGAGTCCTTGCATCAAGTGACCAACAAACCAGATACATTAAAAACCCAAAGCATCAAGGTATATAAGGGGGGCTTATTTTGAGGTAAAAATGATGCAGTATTATCTCCATGCTTTTGAAGGGTGCCTGGCCGGCTCAGTTGGTAGAGCGGGCAGCTCTCGATCTCAGGATTATGAGTCCAAGCCCCACATGGAGCATAGAGGTCACTTAAAAACAAACCACACCAGCATCTTTGTGCTTTTGAGCTACTGTTTCTTTCTCAAAATGAGCACTTTGGTCTCCCATTGGCTGCAACTTCAAGACAAAGTGGTAAGTAAATTAGTATATTAGTGACCAAGGGAGTATTTTATCAGGCATCTGCCCTGTGCCTGGCCATTGCAAGGAATTGGGGTGACCACAGTGAACAGGACAGACATGAGACCTTTATTTTGGTAGAACTTAAAGTCAGAAAATCATTAATACCTAATTGAACAGATAATTAGTTAAGCAAGAATATGATATGTGCTACAAAGGAAAAATACAGGGTATGATGAAGATGTTAGCAGGGACCAGGAAAGCTTCCCTAAGGAAATGAATTTTTTTTTTAAGATTTTTTTATTCATTTATTTGTCTGAGGGGGGCGGGAGTGCACAAGCAGGAGAGGGAGAAGCTCCCCAGCAAGGAGCCCGATGTGGGACTCCATCCAAGGACCCTGGGATCATGACCTGAGCAGAAGGCAGACACTTAACCAACTGAGACACCCAGGCGTCCCAGGAAATGACTTAATCTAAGAGAGTAAATTATCTGTACTCATGACAAAGAATAGACGTGGAGATCATCGAAAACTGGTGTCTAATCAGCATTTATTTTTAGTTTGCTGACTCAGTACATACATAGTCCATTTAAGCCCCAGCCCATTCCTTTCACCTTGTCCCTTCCCCTGTTTTTTTAAGTTCTTACCTGATAGATTGTCAAGGTAAGGCAATCTGTGATATGCTTTGATATCCCAGGAAAGAAAGTTTATTTGCAACATTCTCTGTGATTAGAGTGTTAATATTATAAGATATGGACTAGGATAAAGTGAAAGCCAGGAAGATTGTGGCTGAGTGACTAAAATACCATCTGAGATGCCCATTGTATGTGAGGAGCTCAAGGATATGAGGTTCAGAGGAAATGCACTTGGAAATGAACCATAGTACAGGCAGTTTTCAATGTAATACTTTCTATCTATATTCGTTCTTCTTTAACTGTTTCATATAGTCTAGAAATATTAAGATTTTAATGCTTTGTGAGCTAGGCTTTTGTTGAATTTTCTAACTGCTTCTGCACAAAAATAAATAAAAATAATCCACCTGGGGAATGACAAGAAAAATCAAAGATCCATATGTAAATGTTGAGCACAAAAAGTAACAGGTGGTGGGGCTGCCTGGGTGGCTCAGTGGGTTAAGCCTCTGCCTTCAGCTCAGGTCCTGATCTCAGGGTTCTGGGATCGAGTCCCACATCTCTGCTAGGCAGGGAGCCTGCTTCCTCCTCTCTCTCTCTCTCTCTCTCTCTCTCTCTCTGCTTGTGATCTCTCTCTCTGTCAAATAAATAAAATCTTTAAAAAAAAAAAAAAAGTAACAGGTGGTTATTGCTGAGATTCATAATGATATCAGCAACAGTCCAGATTTTAATAGTAAACCTCAGAATCATATGCAGCTCTTATACATTTTTTGCCTAAATTTCCTGGTTTTGTTTTCAGACTCTTTATGTTTTAAACTGTCATCCCAGTGTGTTGGTCCCTTTGTCCTAAGCATCCCTCATCTAGGCATCCCAACTGGATGTAATTCCTCTCTAACTGCTTTGTAATTCAAGTATTTAGTACCTAGCTTTAGTCAACTGTGTCCATATATTAGCTCCTTAATAAACCAAGAGTGGTCTTCTCTATAGTAGTTATGAGAGGAGAAATAATTAAATGAAAGAAACATGTAATAAGTCGGTGGTCTAATTGAATATAAGATCAGGACGTTTCACACTAGACTGAGCAGTTTAAAAAGCCTAAGCCTCATAAAACCAGACTTCTCTCTTTTTTTTTTTTTTTTTAAACAATTAAATGTATTTCTTATATGCCACTTGGATCATCCTGGGAATGAGAAAGGGCATAGAGAAGAAACTTTTTAAAAAGATAAAAGTAAATCAATGAAATAGGAATTTCGCAGTTCCTTTTGCGTGTTTTCAGCAGTTCCTGCCACCAGTTGAATCCTCACTGTGGGGGGAGAGAAGGAAAAGCCAGGATTGGTTGTTTTTTTTTCTTAAGGTGATAAGAGTGTAATGCTGTTCCTAAATTTGTTTAGTCACAAGGTGAAGTAAGATATCAGGAAAATTATTTAGTGTGAAATAGTTCCTAGAAAATAATATCTACTCATTTAGGAAATGGGTGTTGCATGGCCACTGAGCAAGGGTACATTTCCTTTACTGCTGACACATGCATGCCTTCCCCCATCAGCCAAATGTTCACAGTGAACCAGGTCATCTGTCGCATAATGTTCCCCTTAATGGTCTAGCCTCAAATCCTGCTAGGCCCTTATCAACTCTGAGTACCAAAGGTGTCTCTAGTATTTGTTGATTTATTCTTTTATTACTTTTAGTAGGGAACATACTGGAAGTCAAGCACTACATGCTAAATAGGCTCTGGGAATGTAATGAAGAATCAGATAAGGTCTTATTTCCACCTTAAGCCTTTTGTGATCTTTATTTTGGGCAGAAAGAAGATAGTTCAGATTCTCAAGTATCCAAGCTAAGAGAGAAACTGCAGCTGATCAGTGCTCTCACAAACAAACCTGAGAGCAACAGGCCTTCAGACACTGCTGACAAAGGTGAGATACTCAGGGCTGGCTCCTAAATATTTTATGCAGGCTTGGGCAGCTTGCCTCCCACACAGGGAGTGGGGAAAGGTGTTGTAGCAGGACCGATCAAACTGAGGGAATGATGCCTGAGTGCATCGACATGAAGCTGATACACTTTGGTTTCATTTAGAAAAAGCCCATTTTGTACATGATTTGTATTCCAGTCTATTAAGGAAAGAATGGGTAATGTTTAGCTTGAAATAGACTTCTCCATGCTGTCTGCATCCAATTATAGGCAAAAATGTAACTGTCATAGCGTATATTAAACCAGGCCTAAATGTTGTTTACGGAGTCTTTTCATTACTCTAAGTGCATAAAATTTACTTAAAAATGAATATTAGTCCTTCTGAAAAACCATTAACAAATAATGATAAGTAGGATCATAGTTGGAAAGGCCCTTGGCTCTAGGTAGGAACATACCCAATCAATATTAGCCCCAAGGATGTAACTGGACTGGGTTGGCCTTGACCCCCACTCCCTGCAAATACTTTTTCATTTGGGGGAAAGCATTCAACCTCTCTTACTCTCTTTAGGATGGGGGACACTACAATGGGATGCCTTGTTCTAACATCACATTGCATAATCGTATGAAAGCCCTCTTTCCACACCAGCTGATCTGGTGGCACATACCCCAGATCAGGCTTATGGTATGGCTCCTGGGATATGAAATATCTAGTGCTGTTCTCACTTGCAGCTTGAACTCAGCATGTCAACCTATAAATGCTAACTTGTACTGTAAGAGTTTCCCGTGGGCTTCCCACAGCTTAAACCTAATGTTATATGATACTGATTGATCTTCACTTGTCCACACAACATATCTCACTCCATGCCTTGAGCTTCATGTAGTCACTGTGCTACTTAATTCTCAACTATTACTCTTAAATTAAGTACATACGCAATTGCCCTAAAAAGTAACCTTCAGAATTCATTTAATATAGTGTCAGATTTGATGATGCTACAGCGGTATGTGTTTGTTACAGAGCAAGTACAGAGTTTCACATCAAAGCCGTCGGCGTCGCCAAAATTTCCACAGTCTCTTGGAGGTCAAACTGAGAAAGCTGTGCAGCTAAGACCTATTGCCCTACCAGGAATTTCTAGCATTGAAGGTAAATTTTTATACCATGGAGTAATAGGGAAAATGTTCAAAGCTAAAACTTCGTAATTTTTTTAACTTATAAGAAAAAGAATCCTATCTGACATTGACTGAGTACTTCCTGTGAGCCAGATATTTGATATACTGTGCCACATCATATAATCCCGTTAGCAGTCCTGGGAACATAAGTATTTTCATGTGTTACACCCATTTTTCTCGATAGGAAGACTGCCTAAGTCCACAGAGCACACAATGGACTGAGGCAGAATTTACACGGAGACAGTCTGACACCGAAGTTTGCACTCTTAACCAGTGCATTAGAGAGCCTTCATTCCTTCAGTGAATGCCTAATTAGACCCAGTGATCAGCACTGAATATACAGTTTAAGATACGATCTCACTCTCCTCAAGGATATGAGTTTAGTGGAGAAGGCAAACAGGCAACCACAACACTGTGAGATTAGCGAAGTCCAAGTTGACCCTGTTTGCTAAGGCCTTCCAAAAATGAGGGTCCTTTGGCTGAAAATCAGAAAGATAAATATTAGTAGGAAGGAGATGATTCGCAGTAAACGAGTCTACCTTGCCTCCAGCATTGTATGTGCTGTCCTTCATTGTGCTGCTGAGTCTCCTGATCTTGCATTTGCCAACTGCCTATAAAATCACCCATTCCCACCCCCCTACCTTTGCTGGGCTCTCCACCTTAACTTAGGTGTCGTTCCACCAGGAAACATTATCTTACCTCCTAGGAGTGGATTAGGTGCTTCCCGTGTATGCCCTCTTAGAATATTTTATATTTACCCCTGTTTAGCACATGTCACTCTGTTGGCATGTAATTTCCTGGGAAGATAGAAAATTAACTTTACTCCCAGCCTCTAGCATAGTGCCTGGTACACGTATTTGTTAAGTGAATGAATTATCTACAGTCTATAATTAATGCTTAAAGCATAGAAGACTTTCATTTATATTGCCATATAAATGCAATTACTTTTTCCCCTTATCCCCAGTTTTTTTTTTTCTCTATATTTTCTGGGGAGACAGAGTGTTAAATTGTTTATTTTTCAATACAAGTATCTCCTCCCACTTGCTGTTTATTACATCAAGAATTGATGAGAATGAATGGAAGAGAGACTGTTAGAGCAGATTAAGAAATAGCCATCTTAACACTTGTATTTCAATCTCTAACATAGGCATTATGTACTTTGGATGACTATACTTTTGAAATGACCCAAAGCAGCAATAAGATTTTTATTTGACTACTACTACCAATTTTATAAGCTCATGCCCCATATACACAAAAAACATTTTCCAGCTAGCCACTTGGTGGCAGGCAGTCCCACCTGCTTTTTCTGGCTTTCCGAGCTTTTGAGATTTTCCTGCCACTTCTCTGGATCTGTCTCAGGACTGAAAGCAGGACCTTCTTCAAAAGCTCACCACCTCATCCCCCCAGGCCATTTCCATTCTTCCTAAGTACCAAACAGCAGGAGGCCTATAGAATCTAGGTGTGGGGTTGACTAAATGAAAAGAGGAGAAGGGTTTAGTGAAGAATTCTAAAGAAACAGAAGCCTCATGACTATCTTCTAGTATTAGAGACTAAATCTATTAAGTCAGTCATTCTGTGGGGACATAATCAAGTCCTTTTAAAATATTATGTAAGTAATCGGCCTTCCTAAGTGTTCATTATGAGGCCTTGGAGAAAATACCAGAAGAGACTATTGATAGAAACTGTCCAGTCTTGTTTGTTGGCTCAAATAATATCTTCGAAATCTGAAAGAAGCTACAGATCAACGGGTGATACTACTCTCTCTCAGCTGGGAGAGAGAGAAATAGCACACAGGTGCCTGATGCTTTATATATACTGTATGTATCACTTCGAAAAGATCTGTAGTCCTCTGCCTTTTCTTTTTAATTGAGATAGAATTCACATACCATAGTAATCACCCTTTTAAATAATTCACAGTTTTTAGTATATTCACATGTTGTACAACCATCACCACCATCTAATTCCAGAACATTTTTTATCATCCTGGAAAGAAATCCTATATGCATTAAACATTAAATCGTCACTCCCTACTTTCCCACCCACTAGCCCCTGGCAACCACTAATCCTTCAACCAAAATTTGGGTTTGCCTGTTCTGGGTATTTCATATAATTGGAATCATATGATCCATAGCCTCGTATCCATGCTTCTTTCAACATGCTTCTTTCCCTTAGCATAATGTTTTCAGGGTCCACCCATGTTGTGGCCTGTAGCAGTGTTTCATTCCATTATATGACCAAATAATATTCCATCGTATGGATATACTACATTTTATCCATTCATCGGTTGATGGACATGTGAATTGTTTCTACTTTTTGGCTAGTAGGAATAATGCAGCTCTGAACATTCATGTACAAGTGTTGATGTGGGGATATGTTTTCATTTCTTTTGTGTATATACCTAGGAATGGAATTGCTGGGTCATATGATAACCCTGTTTTGACTAACAGTATGCCATAGTTTGTTTTACAGGCTCAGCTCCTATCATTAGCTTTTAAGGCTTCTCCAGTCCTTTTTACCCATTCAGCAGAAGAATAGAATCTGCAAATCTAAAAGGAAAGCCGTGGACAGAGAGAATGCCAGCCCATTCATTTCTCTCTGTGATTATCTGCCACTGCTTCTATTTTGGAAGGATAGTTCCAGTGTTCCTCTTGTTCTTTTTTAAAAGATTTTATTTACTTATTTGTCAGAGAGAGGGCTGAAGCATGGAGAGCAGCAGGCAGAACAGGCAGAGGAAGAAGCAGGCTCCCCACTGAGCAAGGAGCCTGATGTGGGGCTCCATCCCAGGGACCTGAGCCGAAGGCAGATGCTTAATCGACTAAGCCACCCAGGTGTCCCTGTTCCTCTCATTCTTAAAGGGTCAAGAATTCATCTGATTCAGTGAGATAGTAAGCCTTACCTTTTAGAAACAAAGTCCGCAAAATAGCTTTTAGTGCTTTGCATTCAACTGAGATTACTTTTTGAACTGTTGAGTAAATTTAGCTATATGTATAGACATAAACATTTTTTTGTAATTCCTTTTTAACAGATCTTCAGGATTTATTCCACAAGACTGGCCAGGACATGGATGGGAAGCTGACCTACCAGGAAATCAGGAACTCCTTAGGTTCTAGTGTGCCGGAACTAGAGACTTTGAGAGCATTTGATTCTGATGACGATGAAAGATACTCTTTCCTGGAGCTAAGGGTAGCTTTAGGTGTCTAGCCTCATCAGGCATATTTTAGAAATGGGTATATACCCAGGACTACCAAACATCTACTCACCTAACACAAACAACCCTTTTACTTACCCATCGATCCTCCAGTCCTCCAGACTACTGTAGCAGACACATTGCCACCTTTTAACTTGTTTGAAAAGCTATAAAGAAAAGTTATTTTTTTAAAAAAGGCCATTTTACCTATATGATATTCAGAAATCTATGATTTCCTAATGCCAATAAGATCTTAATTTCAAAATTGCCAGGAAAAAAAAGTCAGGCCCTCTTTTTCTTTTCTCTTTCCTTTTTAAATTTTTTTTTTTTTTTTAGGGAAGGAGACCTTCTCTTTTAAAACTGGAAAATGTGTATATAGAGAGACTAAGCCACCTTTTATATTTCACATAAATTTGCCTTAAATTAGCTGCACTTTATACAGACTCAGAAAATGTCTTTCTTTTAAAAGCTAGACCTTTTCTGTTTGTAAATATTTAAAATGAAAGAAAGAATTGTGCATATTTTGTGGGACGTCAGTAGAATGCCTTGAAACAGGCTGTGAACAAATGACTTGTTAATTAAAAATCACTAATGTGGTAACAGCTAAAACTATGTCCATGTCTCCTTAAGGTACCTCCTTCAGGTGCTGCTGTGGGGTTTGGCCTGGAAGCTGGAGGACCAGATATGGGGAGGTGACCCTGTCAGGACTGTGCTGCCTCCAGGCTCAGGAAAGTAAGAGTCTGGCTCTTTGTTGCTGTACCCTCAGCTGATCCCAACCTGTGAACCAGACAAGTCTTGTTGGGGGTTTTTCTCACTTTTAATCCTATTTCAGGGTTTCTGAGCATAAACAGTTCTGCAGTGGGGAGCTGCATTTTCCCCACTGAGTGAGCTACGTTGTCTTCCCCCACCCACCCACTGAACCCTCTCTCAGCTGTAGCTGGCTGCCACCTCTGGCCCAGCCTCCATTCTGAATGGCAGGTCTGTGCTCCTCCGCTCACTCTCTCCACCTGGCTGCCCAGGTGGGGCTTTAGGGGATAGCTTTGCCCCTCATTGTAACCCAGGAAACCCCTTGACATTTCGCCTGGAGGCTTACCAAGAAGAACTTCGTATGTTCTTCTGTGGGCTCTGCTGTGAAATGCAGCACATGAAATCAGGTCAGGTTCCCTTACAGTTGTCAGCTCAAGGAGCTAGAGGCATTCTGTCCAGAGGATGCCGAACAGTATCAAGCAGGGGGCATCACATGATGGTAGCAAGTTTTTTCAAATCTCATAACAAGCATGTGCAATACTCTTTCCTTTGAATACTTCCATGGGTCTGGTACAAAAGGTCCCCAGACTGGAAGGAACCACATCTCCGTGTCACCTGTGTGTGTGTGTGTGTGTGTGTGTTTGTGTGTGTGTGCTGTGCTGTTCTTAGAAACAGGCCTTGGGCAACACAAAAGGAAGAACTTTGTGGAACTTAACTGTTCTGTAGACCAAGTCAGGGAGAAACTAGAGCTTTCATGGCACAGACTTCTTTAGTAGAGCTCGTTTCCATTTTAACTTCATCCAAGTTGCCCTGTTACCCAGGGATGCCATTGAGCACCTTCAAACATTTAAGGGCTGGTTTTTTCTTTATGTGGTGTTCAGTTTAGTGTTGACTAACTTTGATTTTTTTTTTTCTGAAAGGATGAACATTTAGTTAAAGCAAGATGAAGTCTTTTCCCATGAATGTGTCTGCTTACCTCACAATGGCTTGTGTTTCTCTCTTTAAAAAAAAAAAAAAAAAAAATTTTTTTTTTTTTTTTTTTTTTTGCCTATTGAGCTCTTTCTCTTTCTTAGAAAGGTTAAAATATAGCATAAAATTAGCCTGGCACTTTAGGTAACTTGAAGACAACTCTTTTTCTTCTGGCTGCCTTCCATGAACACCCCCTCCCCTTTTAAATATATATACCCTTACAGATTTTGTAACAACCAAATAAAATTCTAGCAATAAATTGAATTATACTGCTATATTTGTATATATTGTACCATAAATAGTATGTCTGTACCTGGAAGGTATTTTTTTGAGAACTGATTTATATGAAATATACTTGAGGGTAATGTAGCTTGTCCATTTTAGTTTCAAATTCTTATTCATAGGCAGATACTCTGAGGACCCCTTAACTCTTTGTGGTCTGTACTTTTCTTTTGTATCAGATAGCTCCACCTGGAGAATTCACTTTTGTTTTTCAGTTTCTCAGCTGTTCGCCCCCACCTCGAGCTCATCTGGCTGGCATAGTCCTGAAGCCCGCTGGACTTCCTGTCGCCTTTGGCAGAGGTGTTCCGGCCACACTCTCAGACTGTGAATATCCTTGCCGTGCCACTGCCCTAGCTTCCAGGCAGAACGAGGGCATCTGGAACTCTTGTTCCAGGTTGAGGAGATTCATTGGCTTAAAGAGTTTGACGAACCTATTCTTCAGTGACAATTTGGGAGTTTTCTTTGGAAGTTGTCTTAACTTCCCTAACCTGTGACTTGAGCTGTACTCAAGCCTCTTTGCCTCATGTCTCAGCTCTGAGAGGAAGATTGGGTTTTGGTGTTTGTTTTAAATACTTTCACCTTTTCACCCTGGCAGCTCCTCCTGCTGCTTTCCTAAGTGACCCAAAGCATGGCTTCTCGGTCCTTTTTTTTTTTTTTTTTTTTTTTTTTTTTTTTTTCTTTTTTTTATTG